TGCTGTAGTCTTCTTAAAGAACTTCTGTGTAATTCAGGGCTTGTGCTCCAAGAGGCTGATTGGGACGAGGACGTACCGTGACGGTTTATATTATCTCAAAGTTTTGGACGGTGGTCATCCAGTGGCGTTGTCGGCAAGGGAAGCAATCAACACATCAGCACGTTGGCATTCCAGACTCGGCCATCTTGCTGATTCGAAGTTATTGGCGTTTCAGCCTTTTATCTCTAGTACTTTAGTTTTGAACAAGGACCCATGTGATTCATGTCTTCGAGCTAAGCAGACTCATCTTCCTTTTGAGCATAGCCAGATTAAAACTACGTCATGTTTTGATCTTATTCATGTGGATCTTTGGGGTGGTTATCATGAGACTTCTTTTACCGGAGCTCATTATTACTTGACTATTGTGGACGATTTCAGTCGTGCATTTTGGGTCTTCTTGTTGAAATATAAATCCGAAGAAGCACGTTATTTTTTGGTCTTCTTTAATCAGGCTCGAACTCAGTATGGGAAATCAGTTCGCCGGATTCAGACTGACAACGGTCGTGAGTTCACTACTCCTGAGTTGCGTGACTACTACGAGAAGGAAGGAATTGTTTTACAAACCTCTTGTATCAACACGCCACAACAGAATGGGGTGGTGGAACGAAAACATTGTCATCTCCTTGACACAGCTAGAGCTTTGCGATTTCATGCAGGCTTGCCTCTACGTTTTTGGGGTGAATGTGTGTTGACTGCTGCATATTTAATTAATCGGATGCCGCTTGCTACTCTCCATGACAAGAGCCCATATCAAGTGTTGTTCGATGTGCCACCCAGGTATGATCACCTGCTTACCCTTGGTTGCCTAGTATACGCCAAGGACACTCACCACCAACTTGACAAATTTGCGTCACGAGGGCGACCAGGCATCTTCATTGGGTACCCTGCAACTCAAAAAGGGTATCACATTTATGATCTTGAGAAGAAATAGATCTATACTTCCCGAGATGTGGTCTTTGTTGAGAATGTTTTTCCTTACAAAGAGTCTTTATTGTCTAGCCATTCATCATTGGCTGGCGCGCATGATCTCACATTCTCTCATGATGATAATGTCGCTGCTCGCCTTATTGATGATGATGAGGAGTTGTTTGGCCCCCAGTCTACACCTGCCAATGAATCTCCATCAAGTCCAACTCCTAGCATCATTAATTCCACCGCCGAACAATCGTCTCCATCTCCATCTTCGGATGCTGCCTCTCCTGGAGACACCAGCTCCTCGGCGCCCACAACCTCAGCGAAACCAGCTAACGTACCTCCTCTACAACGTAGCGATCGCACGCGGCAGCCACCCAAGGCTCTTGACATCTATGACGTTCAGCTCTCAGGCCAATCACAGGGTAATCATGTTCTATATCCCATGGCCAACCACGTGAGTTATCATAGACTCTCCCCAGATCATCGTGCTTTCATTGCTAACGTCAAAAATACCATTGAGCCTCGCTACTACCATCAGGCAGTCCGCTTCCAGCATTGGCGACTTGCCATGCAAGCTGAGATCACGGCGCTAGAAGCTAATCATACTTGGATGCTCACCTATCTCCCTCCCGGTAAGCGTGCCATTGAGTCAAAGTGGGTCTTCAAGGTCAAGTACAAACCGGATGGCTCGATTGAACGCTACAAAGCACTCCTGGTTGCTAAGGGTTTTAATCAGGTAGGAGGCATTGACTATCATGATACTTTTGCTCCTGTTGCGAAGCTCGTTACAGTCAGATGTTTACTCGCAGTGGCTGTTACTAAGAACTGGTTTATTCACCAGCTGGACGTTAATAATGCTTTTCTGCATGGTGATCTCCATGAAGAAATGTACATGAAGGTTCCCCAAGGCTTCGGTAAGCCTGGTGACACACGAGTTTGTAAGTTGCATAAGTCGATCTATGGATTGAAACAAGCTTCTCGCAACTGGTATCAAAAGTTCTCTGCAGCATTGGTGCAACTTGGCTTCCGTCAGAGTCATACCGATCCATCACTCTTTATCTATCACACATCAACCTCCTATGTGAAGGCCCTTATCTACGTCGACGATGTCATCTTAGCTGGTGATGACTTGACATTTATTCAGCGAGTTAAGTCCTCACTCCATTCTCAGTTTACCATCAAGGACCTTGGTCCACTCAAGTACTTTCTGGGAATAGAGGTAGCTCGTTCGCCTAAAGGCGTCATTCTCAATCAGCGCAAGAATGTTCTCAATATTCTTGCCGACTCGGGCCTTCCTACCACTCGTCCGTGTGCATCATCGATCGAGCAAAATCACCAACTTGGGCGTCTTGAGTCACCTCCTGCCCCTGATCCCTCTGCTTTTCGGCGTCTGGTTGGCCATCTCCTTTATCTCACTGTCACCCGGCCCGACATCACCTATTCGTTCAAACTGCTTAGCCAAGCGGTTCATGCTCCGAATCAAGCTCATCTCGATGCTGCTCATTGCATCCTTCGCTACTTGAAGAGCTCGCCCGACCGTGGGTTGTTTTTCCCTTCGCAGAGTCCTCTGACATTGACAGGTTACTGCGACGCTGACTGGGGTGGTTGTCCTACCACCCGTCGCTCTACTACAGGTTACTTCATTCGTTTGGGAGCTTCACTTGTGTCTTGGCGTACCAAGAAACAAAATATAGTGGCTCGTTCTTCCGCAGAGGCTGAATATCGCGCTATGGCCAGCATCGTTAGTGAGATTATTTGGCTTCGGTGGCTTCTGAGTGAACTTGGTGCACCTCAGTAGGGTCCGACTCCACTCTTTTGCGACAGTCAGGCAGCTTTACATATTGCGACTAATCCAGTCTTCCACGAACGAACTAAGCATGTCGAGATGGAGTGCCATTTTGTTTGTGAGCGAGTTCAATCCCGTGATATTGCCCCGCAAAAGATCTCCACCACTGAGCAGCCTGCGGATTTGTTTACAAAGGGGCTTGGTGTTGATTCGTTTCAGCATCTCCTTTCCAAGCTTGGCACATATGATCTCCATCCCTCCGCTTGAGGGGGAGTATTGTGAGCTGTCGTTCATCCATTGGTCTGGATGTCCTCTAGTCCATGTCACTCTCTTATTCATGTTACTTGTATCACACGTAACCTATAGAGATAGGGATTAGGGTTGTCAATATATATAGGCTTGTAGCTTGCAGTCGGCCATCAATCTCTCTGTAACAAAAACCTTCGATCAAGAGTAATAATAATCTCAGCCGTGATGCTCTCGAGAGCTCACCATGGATTAGTCTCGTTCTAAATCAAGAACGGGGATACCACGTAAAACTCGCTTGTCTCATCGTTTGACTTATTTCCGCAGTCTAGATTTTATTAATAGATAGATAGATGTACAGCTGCGACGTGCAACTAGTGACCAGTAAAAAATTAAAAGATCTTACTATCATTTACAGAAATAATTATTGTTGTTGTAAATGCTAAGGTCTTTACAAAAATAAGTTAAATTTTAATGATTCACATAATTTATCTCTTGAATATAATAATTATAGAAATGTGGAGCACAAATATAATAATTATATATTGTCCAAAAAAAATTTATATTGGTCTTAATTACTTTAAGTGTTGTCATGTATGCAAGACACATGCCACATTTCAAAACCTTGTCAATTTTGTAGTTGAACAAGCATTTGCCTAGTTAGGCTTCCTGATTTGAGGACAATTTCATTGAGAAAAACTTTCGCATTTCCACTGCGAAAAAAATGGAATCGCAATCGATCGGCACTTGACTCGACACAAAATTAGCTCCACTCCCCTTTTAGCTTCCATGCATAAATATCACACTATAACAACAATAAATAATTCACTCTCAAGTCATAACTTCCAACCGGAGAAGTTTCAGTTTCAGGGAGAAAGAAGAAGAAAAACAAAAGTGAGTTACACGTGGCATGCACCCAGAAGAAGCTCTGCTACACAAATTGTCGCCTTATATATAAAAGAAGAAAGAAAAAAAAAAACACTTGTGCTATATTTGGAGACAACTGAATCAGGAAAGAGAGCAGGAGAGGGAGAGGGACGACCTCTATTTGGGTCTTCTTCTTCTTCTTCTTTTTTTTCTTCCTTCTGAATGTTGCTTCAACCATCACAAATTCACAATTCAACCAGAGAAGTTTCCCCTCTTGATCTTCCATTTCCAAATGCATTTCTTGTTCCTCTTACCATAATTTCCTTGCCTTGTGTATAAAACTTCCTTTTCCATCACTCAATGCTTGTCCTTCTTCAACCCACCACCACGAAGAAGGATTTTGCTCTCCTTTTCACATCTCATTCCATTCTACAAAATGTAAAAAAACAACACACCAAAAAAAATCTATTGATTCCAACAATCTAACCAACTAATTTGTACCGTATTCTCTCATTTATTGTTGTTTGGCGGGAGGAGAAAGAATATGGCAGCAATAACATGCCTTCAAAATTTCCATTACCACGTCTCCAACTTTCCTCACAAATCTCCCCCTCATTATGCGAGATCATTTCCATCAACCCTAAGGCCTCCTAACATCGTCCCCGAAACCAGACGTAGCTCTCTTTTCGTGAGCACTCGCCACAGCACCAACCGAGCCTTCAACTATCGAGACTATTTCAATGAGGAATACTCCGAGCTCCTGATGAATATTTCTCACCGACACTTGCATCACCACGAGGAAGAATGCTACGACTACGACTACAACTACAACGACTACGAATGTGATCAAGAGTTCGCGACGGGGAGGAACATGATCAACAACGACGGTTACTATAGCTCCATGTCGTGTTGGATATCATCAAAGCTGGAGCTTTTCGGGCCGAGCTTCTTCGGGATGAAGCCCGATCCGCCTCCAGAGTACTGGCCGGTGGACGAGGAGACGAGGAGGAGCAGGGAGTTTGCCGCCCAAGTCGATCGCATGAGAAGAGGGAAACTAATGTCGTCCAAGGAGAAGTGTTATTATTGGCAAGTTGCGGGTGATTACTCTTACTGCTCCGTGAGGAAAGTGTTCTCTCTGACGGTGTTCATGATCCGCGAGCTGCTGAGCTACGTACTGAGGATAAGGGAGTGTTTGTACAGCGAGGACCTGAGGAAGGTGATCGACAGGGTGACAGTGGAGATGAACGACACGTTCGTTTGGCTGTTCGAGAGCGTTTTCGCCACGACGCCGACCCTCATGGTGTCGGTGATGCTGCTGCTTGCGAATTTCACGGCTCATTCCATGGCCGCCGGGACGACGGAGATGGTTGCTGCGGCGGCGCTGCCGAGGGTTACGATGAGTAGCGGTTTGGTCTCGTACTACGAGGAAGAGAGGAGGATGATGGCGGCGAGTTTGGAAGAGAAGGAGCTTTGGGGTGAAATGTTGACGAGGATCATGGCGGCGTCGGAGCGAAGGTTGTTGAACTTTGATGATATCGACGAGGTTGCGGAGACGAGAATGGTGTCAAAGGTGGCCGAGTGTTTGAGGTGTGAGAACTTGGTTGGCCATTTGGGCTTTGGTGAGAGCACGCGATGTTTTCTTCGTATTCTCAACTCTGCTCTCTTCTTAAACCCTAATCCTCAACTCTGTGATAGGGTGGAGGAAATTTACGAGCAGGCGGTAGTGGTGGAGCCAAGGGATGCGGAGGTGAGAATTTTGTATGCCGAGTTTCTGCAGTTAAGGAAAGACTTGGAGGGTGCGGAGGAGAAGTATCAAGAAGCAATCGAGATAAACGACAACTATGATATCACGTCCAAGTACTTCGCATTTCTCGTAGAAACCGGTAACGAAGGTGTTTGTTACCCACTCTATGATCTTGGTACCAATTACCAATAGCTTTAACTAATTATTAGTTTATTGATTAGACAAGAGAACACGATACCACCATGTTATTATACATACATACGTACGTACGTATGCTTGGTTTCTTGTTTGGTATTAGGGTTTCTGTAGCAAGAAGGGGCATACATATACCGTATCTAGTAGCAAAGTAGGACAATTTTGTAACTCTCCAATGTAATGGAATCATCCAACCAATTGAGAGTTTAAAGGATAAGAGGCTAATATTGTTTTTATTTTTATTTTTATTTTTTTGTAACGATTCGAGGATGTAATCCAAACGAAAATTTCGAATGAGAAAATTTTGAAAAAGAAACTTTGTAGCTAGAGTTTTGCTATGTTCACCTTAGCACTTGCATAAGGTTTCGTTTAACTCCCTTTCCTCGATTGTTGTTGAGAGGCAATGTTATAGAGGGGGTGTCAGAAGTTTTATCTGTACCCTCCAAGCATAATTCTCAAACAAAACTTCACTAGGCGAGGGATTGTACTAGATAAGCAACATCGTATGGTCGCAAATGATGCGTAGTTGAACCGTTCCTATTCCCTCTGTGCACCCCGCACTTTATTTGTAAATGAAACTTCTTTTATATCACTTTATCATGTAGGTTTTTCGAATATATATAAGGATACAGTTCGACCCCAATAACTTTAAAGAGTAGGAGACTCATTGGAAGAGTTGAAAAACTCACACTACAAGAAAAATGACAATTAGCGACTAAGTGTATATGCCACGGTAAGTGATTTAAGTGCCACTATAGCTCTATAGCGGCACATAATTGTGTGCTGTCAATACTGCTGCCGCTAAATCTCTTTAGCGACAGATGTTAGCGGCAAATATTGTCTGCCTCTAATTTAGGAATTCCCGATAGATAATTTTGTTGCCAATTTCACTTTTGATTTAGTGTTTTATTGTCTCCTTTTCTCACTTTAGTAGCACAAATATTTGTCACTAATATTACCTTTAGCGACATATATTTATGCTTCTATAAAACTTTTTGGAGACAATTGTATTAGCCATTAAATTAATTTATAGCAACAAACTATGTACCTCTAATGGTAATCTTTTGTCACTAATTTTATCTTTATGACTTTACCGAATTATTCATTTTATTTCTGGAGGCAGATTAATTGCCTCCAATTAGTGAACTCACTCTTGAGGAGATAAAATCAAATTCTGTAAAATGTATGAACAAAATACCCAGATCGATTAATTTATTTTAATTGAACATTAATACAAAAAATTTACTCGTAAGTCGTACCAATGAAACAAATTACATAATTTCAAAACAATGAGATTCAAGATAAAAAGTGCAATTTGTCCTTGCATTACAATTTCGAATTAGCTTGTAGTCTTGAAATTCATTATGTTGATAGTTGATGAAATTCCTCCGAGACCCTGATGCTTCAGTTCAAAGCCATCCTCTTACATCTTCCAAACTCATTTGTGAGATAAGATATGTTCTTATAATATTGTATCAATTCTGTAGCGCAAAGTATAAAGATCATTCATCCCCTTGGTGGTATTACCTGCAAATAAAAAAAGTTGAGTATTTCTTATAAGCATAATGTAAAACATATTGATGATAGTTTATGGGGAATTGGGGATGTCTTCAAACTAGTCTCTTCAATCAATGGGGAAAAAACAAACATAGAAGCATGCAACATTGATAGAGGCATCCAATAGTAGCTGTTAAGATTGCGAAACAGAGGTGTGATGGAGTCTAAAATGCAAAAAAATAATCAGCACAGAGAAACCCTTTTTACCCAATCCACAGATTACCACCAAGAAACTAAGCATATGTCAGAGTAGTCAAAACCGAAAGGAATCTGGAAAATCTCAGATCCAATCGCAGAGCTTTGTAAATCATTAAAAGTCGAATAGATCAAGAGGGGGGAAGGGATAAAAAGAACTGACCAGTCAATATTTAGTGAAAGTACAGATGAAATTATTCTGGTCGGAGAGATAATCCATGAGCAAAACAACAAACAAGGAGGAATCAGACCAAGTGCCGATCGACGCCTCAGCATACAAAGAGGAAGGAGAGGAGATCTATGTACGTATGTTTACCTTTGCCCTTCTTGGCTAAGTCGGGAAGAGCCAGGGAGAGAAGTTGCCTGTGGAATTTCATTGTACTGCTCCTCTGCTATTTCATATTCTTCACGGGACGATTTGGGTAGAAACCCCATCATCACATCCAATAGCTAACGTGGGGTCTAGCGATTTTTCAGTGAGAAGTGCCGAAGTGTCCTTTAAAGTTTAAACATGATCAGAATAGAAAGAAGAGATTTTTACATTGGTGGCGACGGCGGGGTTTATTGCATGTGTTGAGGAAACCCTAATTTCCTAACTGCATCTCGCACCCTATCCCTTTAAGCTTAAGATTTTTAACAAGTAATAGCAACCATTATTTTAGCCTCTAAAAATATTTATATAGTGGCACATAATTTTCTGCCTTCAAAAGTTAAAAATATGAATATAATCCGATATTCACTTGTTCATGGATGAGAGGACAAAACTTTACATGACACTCACAACAAATGTGCCGCTATATGTGATATCTTTTTGGAATTAATACTAAATATAAAACAACAATGGTTTTAGAGGCAAATAAGTTTACTTTTAGAGACAAAAAACATATAGTCGCCTATAACATATTTTAGAAGGCAATTATTTTATGTGCCGCAAATATTTGCCGCTAAAGGTTATTTTTCTTGTAGTGTCACAAAGAATAGTGATAATCACCGTATCCAAACATATCGAGTGGTCTTTAGTCTTATGAGGACATCCTTCATAGCCACTACACTAGCCTTCCTAGATCAGGTATTAACGTAGAGACTAGCAATTCAAAGTAAATTGAGCGTGGATATGCACAGGGGAGTGTGCAACATTGTAAAAAATACCAAAATTAAGCACAACTACACACATACAATAGACCAAAGTTATAAATATTTATTGACTTAGTAAAGATACAAAACATATGAATTCATACTACCAAAAGTGTCCAAAACCCCACCAATACATGGGTTGCCTCCCTCTCATGAAGCAATCTTTCTTTTACACCTTTGAACTAGGCGCAGATTGCAAACTGAAGGGTGACTCGCTAAAACACAACACCAAACTACGACCAAGTGTAATTGTAGAATGAAAATGCAGAATACTGGGTAAGTTTTATTTATCAACCCGGGGTCTAGATCTACTGCTTGCTCCGTAGACTTCTATTATCTAGCAACTAAAGTGTAATGAGTTGTTCAAATGCAAATTAAACAGAAAGCAGAAAATGTTCTGGGTTTTCAAGTATGCTAAAGGTCATCCAGGTATGATTCCCTCTAGTATGTAGCTAGTTCAGATTATATGTTCCCAATTTACTCCGATTGATAGATATACTGCGGAAAGTTCTTGACAAGTTTGGAATCTCGACTAAAATAATCCAGACCCTCTCAGTTCGAATAGCCAGCGGGCGACTAACATATACCAACATACACTAACCAAGGCAATAACACACCAAACTTCCTCTACTGGCTTTAATTCCAGTATAGAGTAGTGAATCGATTTCTCGACTAAAGCAATCAATTTACAATTCCAATTTAAGGTTGCTCTATTAATCTATGCAGAGACTAGGGATGGCAATGGGTCGGTTTGGGGCGGGTTTTGTCAAACCCAAACCCATGGGTTTATCCGTAAAAAAAACCCGGGGTAAAACTTGTTGGGTTTGAAAAACTCAAACCCAACCCAACCCGCTGGGTACCCGTGGGTTTTTGTGGTAAAAAATTTACAATAACAAATTTCTTTCAAAGTAAAAGTTTAACATCAATTTTCTCATACAAATTATTCATACAAAAAATACCAATCTAGAACATACAAGCAAACCGCAAATGATCAATACAAATTGTTCAAAATTAAAGATAAACATCTATAAACAACAAGATTAATTGAAATCTTCTTCCTCGTCAAATAAGTTTCTTCACTCTCCACTCCATAATATCAATTTCATTCTAAACAATTAGAAAGAACAAATTATACATGTCTCCACAAACATAAATAATATTAGTTGTTTAAAGAAGATATATTATTTAGAATATTAAATATACCAGGAAAGTAATTATATGTGTGGGCGGGTACCCATGGGGCGGGTTTACCTAAACCCAAACCCAACCCGACCCGGTGAATAGTGTAGCGGGTTTAAACCCGAACCCGGCCCAAAACCCGTCAACACGGGTTTTACCCGCGTTGACCGGATTGGGTCGGGTGGGTACCCGTGGGTTCGGGTTTTGTTGCCATCCCTAGCAGAGACTATCGTTCTAGGTTAAAGCAGGAATCACAAAAGTTTGATCAAAACTCATGCAATTCTGATTAATGCCTCAATTGAATATATCAAATCAATCATTCACAAACGGGGTTCATACAACCATTCCTAACATACAAAATTAGGGATGAAAATGGAGTTTCTTCATACCCAGATGAAAAGGGAGTTTACTCTATGAAGAGAAAGGGAAACATCAAACTAGGAGGAGAAATAATCATGCGGACTATGAAAATCTGCTCCAAGCGGCTAATTGGTACTCCGAGAGTGAGGAATCGAGCTTCGAGGTTTTCAGATCACTCCAATCCTTGCCCAAGGGTTGTTCTTTGTTACTTTCTCTCTTGGGTTCTCTTTTTGCTCTTTAGAACTCAAAAATCCGAATCCTTTGCAATTTGTCTGAGCCGCCCCTTTTATATGCTGGAGATTCGCGAGTTACGGTCAAAGTTACGGCCGTAACTCTCTCTCCCAGCCCATAATTATCCAAAAAAATGTCGTCGTCTCTACGTTCCGTAAACCAAGAGTTGCGACTCCTTTAGAGATGTTATGGTTGAGACCGTAACTTTGAGGGGCAAGCCGTAACTCAAAAAACACTCTTAGAACCTTTGGCATCGCTTCCCAGAGTTACGGGTGCTGAGGGGAAGTTACGGTCCAGACCGTAACCTCGAAGGTCTGGCCGTAACTTTAAAAGTGTTTCTG